GGGAGCACGGTAACGTTTAAAAACATTTAATCATCCGTCACCCAAAAAGGAGGACAAGATGTTAGCCCCCGGGGTGAGTGTAGAGAAGCCCCCCAGCCCCGCACAGGAGGTTTGTTCTGTTTGAAGGGACGTTTGGGTGGGTTTGGGGAAGGGTGGGAACTCCTCGCTGCGTATTCGGCGCTGTCAAACCAGAGCTCTGCCTCCTTAAATGACATCTTGCCAGCAGATGATTAAATCCTTTAATCTCCGAGCATCGAGGCTGATCTGGTTGCCTTACAGACGTTGCTCACACCACATCTGTTGAAACCCCGTTCCCAGATAAACGCCCAGCGCCTCCCACCTGGCTGTCAGCACTCCCCTGGCCCCTCTCTCTGCCCCCCCTGGGTGACAGCAGAGGTGGGAAGAGGGACGTGGGGCACAGCCCGGGCTCTTTGCTTGCTTTTCCTGCAGGAATCCCACTGGGACAAGGCCACTGAGCGTGGTCTTGGAGTGAGTCAGCGCAACTGGGACCCTTTTACCCCGTGTCCCGGTGATTTTCCATCTGTGGGGTCCTGGTGGAGCCCAATGGGGCCACCTCCGAGGGCTTTCTCCTCTGAGCACACCCAAAGCCAAGAAACCCCATTTTGCAGGGGCTTTGTAGGGGTTTTGCTGCTCATCTCCCCTTCCTCAGCTCCTCACCCCGCTGCCGTGAGCGTCTTGGGGTCACGCTGGGACCGGGCGCTTGCCTTTAATGCGCCTGCGGGCTGGAAGGGGCTGGAGCTCGGCTCTCCGAGTTGGCTCCCTCCCCGAAGCCGCCGTCTAATTATAGCAGAGTCAGCTGCCAGCAAACTGATCCGGCCGAAATCCAGGCTCCCGTTAAGCCGCACTTGCCCCTCCAACTCCCCCCATCCCTTGGGATATGGGGTAAACCTACCCCAACAATCCCCTCCTTGCCCCCCCGGGGTGGGCTGCGGGAGCCCTGCTCTCCCTGCCCAGCCTCGCTGCCTGCTGGTGCCCTGCTGCGGTGGGAAAAATCCCCCAAAAGAAGTGATTTCAGCCCAACGGGGTGGGTTCGTGCACCAAGAGCCCACCCCACAACCCCAGAGGCTGGCGGAGGAGATCCAGGGGCAGAAACCCGTGGGAGCTCAGCCTGGGAGCTCGGTGGGATGCCCTCGGGCTGCCAGGATTTGGGGGGGAGGTCTCGGGGTTGCTCTTTCAGCAGCTTCTGCACCTTGCCCGCGGGGCGAGGGGCGTTTGGGATTTATGGCACGGTCAGAAGGATTTGGCAGTAACCCGAAACTCATGGCCCAGGTATCTTGGGGACAGACAGCATCTGACACCCAGCCGGGACCTGCCCCCCGTCCTCTGCGGGACAAGGACAGCAGGCGGGGCTGGGCTGCTGCCCACCTGGGATTTGGGATCCCAGGATCCCCCCCCCCCAGCTCCCCGGCAGAGGGCTGAGGCCACCCCAGGGACCCCGCTGGCTGCAGGGGGGGTGCTCTTGGTGCCCGGGAGCGGTGCCGGGGCAGTGGCTGTGCCGGGGATTTCTCCGATTTTCCCCCTTTTTTCTCCAGATTATTTTCCGGCCACGTCCCTGGGGGGGCTCTGTGGGGCACTGGGAGCCCTCAGGGGCCATAAAAGCACCAGGAGGGGAGGAACCCAAAAGGAAACTGTCCCTAGATCTGGCCAGGACGGGGCAGAGCGGGGACAGGCGGGGGTGAGCGCGGTGTCCGGGGGTGCCCACAGTGTCCTGGGGGTGCCAAGGTGGCTGTGGTGTCCCTGGGGTGACCGTGACGTCCCAAATGTGACCCTGGTGTCCTAGGGATGACAGAGGTGTCCTGGGGCACCACCTTGGGGACAACCCCGAGCAGGGCCACCAGCCGGCCTCCTGCTGACACCTGCGGGCGAGCGAGTGTCCCTGCATGTCACCCTGTCCCTTAATGTCACCCTGTCCCTTAATGTCACCCTGTCCCCGCATGTCACCCTGTCCCTTAATGTCACCATATCCCTCTGTGTCACCCTGTCCCCATGTCCCCTTCCTAAACACCACTCCCTCCCGCGTGTCGCCCTCCCACACGTCCCCACAGCCCCCTCGTTCGCCTTGGGGACACCTTGGGGACACCTTGGGGACACCTTGGGGACACCAGGGACCAGGCTCCCTGCCCCATGGCACAGGGGACACGCAGCCTGTGCCACCCCATAAGGGCTGACCCCACCTGGCTGCTGCGCCCCCAGGGGTGGACCCCTCTCCCAGCCGCTGACCTGGGGGGGCTGGGACCAAGGGGGTCGCTGTGGGGTGTGGGGGGAGCGCAGTGATCCCGAGTAGAGGGTGAGGGTCCCTGCACGGGCTGGGGGGCCTCCCACAGTCCCGTCCTACATCTCCTGTCCCTAATCCTGCTCCTTGTGTCCCACACCCTGCATCCCACATCCCAGTTCCATACCCTGCACCCCATATCCAGCACCTCATCCCAATCCTGCGCCACGTCCCGCATCCCATGTCCTATATGATGTGTCCTGCGACCTGCATCCCATATCCTGAATCACGTCCCACACCCCCTACACCTTGGATCCTAGTCCTGCATCCCACGACCTGCATCCCAGAACCCAAATCCTGCACCTGGCGTCCTGCATCCCAGTCCTACATTCTGCATCCCACATCGGGCACCCAGCATCCTGCATCCCACAGCCTGCATCCCATATCCCAAATCCTGTACCTTGCATCCCAGTCCTGCTTCTTGCGTCTCGCACCAGGAACCCTGCACCCCACATCACATCCCAATCCTGCATCCTATGCCCCAAATCCTGCATCATGTCCTGCACCCCACAACCCACATCCCACTCCCTGCACCCCGCATCACATTCCCAGCACCCTGCATCCCAATCTAACCCCATGCCTGCATCCTATACCCTGAATCCTGCACCCCACATCAGGCACACTGAGCCCTGCATCCCAATCCCGCATCCCACTCCCAATTCATGTCCCACATCCCAATCCTGCATCCCAATCTCGAACCCTGTCCTGCATCCCAATCCTGAGTCGTGTCCCACATCCCATTTCTGAATCTCATCCCACATCCCAATCCTGAATTCTGTCCTGCATCCCAATCCTGCATGTCAGGAGTTATGTGCAGGACCTGAGTCATGCCCCTCATCCCAATCCTGAATCACGTCCTGCATCGCAGTCCCAAATTCTGTCCCACATCCCAATCCTACATCCCAGTCCTGAGTCATGTTCTGCATCCCAATCCTACATCCCAATCCCGAATCCCATCCTGCATCCCACTCCTGAGTCATGCCCCACATCCTGATCCCAAATTTCATCCCACATCCCAATCCTGCATCCCAGTCCTGAATCCCATTCTACATCCCACTTCTGCATCCCAATCCTGAGTCATGCCCCACATCCCAATCCCAAATTCTGTCCTGCATCCCACTCCTGCATCCCAATCCTGAGTTATGCCCCATGTCCCCATCCTAAATCATATCCTGCATCCCAATCCCAAATTCCGTCCCACATCCCAATCCTGCATCCCAGTCCCGGATCCCATCCTGCATCCCATTGCTGCATTGGAATCCTGAGTCACATCCCACATTGTGATCCCAAACACCATCCTGCATCCCAGTCCCACATCCCAGTCCCGAATCCCATCCCACATCCCAATCCTGAGTCATGCCCCACATCCCGGTCCCAAATTCTGTCCTACATCTCACTCCTGCATCCCAATCCTGAGTCATGCCCCACATCCCAATCCCAGATTTCATCCCACATCCCAATCCCAAATCCCATCCTGCATCCCACACCTGCATCCCAATCCTGAGTCACGTCCCACATCCCAATCCCAAATTCTGTGCTGCATCCCACTACTGCATCCCAATCCTGAGTCATGCCCCATGTCCCCATCCTAAATCATGCCCTGAACCCCAATCCCAAATTCTGTCCCACATCCCAATCCTGCATCCGAGTCCTAAATCCCATCCTGCATCCCACTCCTGCATTGGAATCCTGAGTCACATCCCACATTGTGATCCCGAATCCCATCCCGCATCCCAATCCCGCATCCCAGTCCTGAATCCTGTCCCACATCCCAATCCTGCATCCAATCCTGAGTCATGCCCCACATCCCACTCCTAAATCATGTCCTGCATCCCAATCCCAAATCCCATCCTGCATCCCAATCCTGAGTCATGCCCCACATCCTGATCGCAAATTTCATCCCACATCCCAATCCTGCATCCCAGTCCCAAATCCTGATCCTGAATCCCATCCTGCATCCCAATCCTGAGTCATGCCCCACATCCCAGTCCCAAATCCCGATCCCAAATCCCATCCTGCATCCCACTCCTGAGTCATGCCCCACATCCCAATCCTGAATCCTGTCCTGCATCTCAATCCTGCATCCCAATCCTGAATCCCATCCTGCATCCCACTCCTGCATCCCAATCCTGAGTCATGTCCCACATCCCAATCCCAAATTCTGTCCTGCATCCCAATTCTGCATCCCAATCCTGAATCCCATCCCACATCCCAATCCTGATTTATGTCCCACATCCCAATCCCGAATCCCATCCTGCATCCCACTCCTGCATCCCAACCCTGAGTCATGTCCTGCATCCCGATCCCGCATCCCATCCCGCACCCAATCCTGAGTCATGCCCCACGTCCCCATCCTAAATCCCGTCCTGCATCCCGATCCCAAATTCCATCCCGCATCCCATCCTGCACCCCACTCCTGAGTCACGCCCCGCATCCCGACCCCAAATCCCACCCCCCAATCCCATCCCACCCCCTCCCCCACCCCCCATCCCACCCCCCAAACCCCCCAAATCCCCCAAATCCCCCTTTCCCCCCCCATTCCCCCCCTTCCCCTCCCCGCAGGGCGTCCCCCCCGCGCGCCCCCGCACCTGCGCGCCCCCGCTCCCGCTCCTCCAATGAGCCGCGCGCCCTCCCCCTTCCCCCCCCCATCCCCTCCCCCTTCCCCTCCCCATCCCCTCCCCCTTTTTCCCTTCCCTTCCCCACCTCCCGGCCCCGCCCGGCCCCGAGCCGCCGCCGCCGCCGCCGCCCCTCGCCCGCCCCCGGCCCCGGGGCCGCGGCTGGCAGCGGCTGGGGCGGGCAGCGGCGGGGCTGAACGGGGCCAAACGGGGCCAAACGCCGCCAAACGCCGCCAAACGCCACCAAACGGGGCCGAACGCGGACAAACGGGGCCGAACGGGGGCTGAACGCGATCAAACGGGGGCTGAACGGCACCGAACGGCACCGAACGGGGCTGAACGCAAAGCCAAACGGGGCCAAACGCCACCAAACGGGGCCAAACGCCACCAAACGGGGCTGAACGCGGCCAAACGGGACTGAACGGGACCGAACGGGGCTGAACGGGACCGAACAGGGCCGAACGGGGCCGAACGGGTCGCCATGGCCGGCAGGACCCGCGGTGGCGGTGGTGGCGGTGGCGGTGGCGGCGGTGGCGGCGAGGCGCTGCGGGTGGTGGCGCGGTGCCGTCCGCTGAGCCGCCGGGAGGAGGCTGCGGGCTGCGAACGCATCGTGGAGCTGGAGCCCGGGCTTGGCCGCGTGAGCATCCGCAACCCGCGCGCGGCGCCCGGCGAACCGCCCAAGACCTTCACCTTCGACGCCGTCTACGACGCCGGGGCGAGGCAGGCCGAGCTGTACGACGAGAGCGTGAGGCCGCTGGTGGACGCGGTGCTGCGGGGCTTCAACGGCACCGTGCTGGCCTACGGGCAGACGGGCACCGGCAAGACCTACACCATGCAGGGCTCGTGGGCCGAGCCGGAGAAACGCGGCGTCATCCCCAGCGCCTTCGAGCACATCTTCACGCACATCTCGCGCTCGCAGAACCAGCAGTACCTGGTGCGCGCCTCCTACCTGGAGATCTACCAGGAGGAGATCCGCGACCTGCTGGCCAAGGACCCCGGCAAGAAGCTGGAGCTGAAGGAGAGCCCCGAGACCGGGGTGTACATCAAGGACCTCTCCTCCTTCGTCACCAAGAACGTCAAGGAGATCGAGCACGTGATGAACCTGGGCAGCCAGGCGCGCGCCGTGGGCAGCACCAACATGAACGAGTACAGCTCGCGCTCCCACGCCATCTTCCTCATCACCGTCGAGTGCAGCGAGACGGGGCCGGACGGCGAGGAGCACATCCGCGTGGGCAAGCTCAACCTGGTGGACCTGGCCGGCAGCGAGCGCCAGGGCAAAATGGGAGCCCACGGAGAGCGCCCCAAGGAGGCCTCCAAGATCAACCTCTCCCTCTCCGCCTTGGGCAACGTTATCTCTGCCCTCGTGGACGGGCGCAGCACGCACATCCCCTACAGGGACTCCAAGCTCACCCGCCTGCTGCAGGACTCCCTGGGGGGCAACGCCAAGACCATCATGGTGGCCACCCTGGGCCCAGCCTCGCACAGCTACGACGAGAGCCTCTCCACCCTCAGGTTCGCCAACAGGGCCAAGAACATCAAGAACAAGCCCCGGGTGAACGAGGACCCCAAGGACACGTTGCTGCGGGAGTTTCAGGAGGAGATCGTCCGGCTGAAGGCCCAGCTGGAGAAGCGCGGCATGTTGGGCAAGAAGAGGAGAAGGAGCAGCCGGAGGAAGAAGGCGGTGGATGGAGAAAGCGCCACGGAGAACGAAGGGGAGGATGAGAACGAGGACGGCCTGGAGAAGAACATGGAGAACTACCTGAAGGAGCAGAAGGAGAGGCTGGAGGAGGAGAAGGCCGCCATCCAGGACGACCACAGCCTGGTGAGCGAGGAGAAGCAGAAGCTGCTGGAGGAGAAGGAGAAGATGATAGAGGACCTGCGGAAGGAGCAGGAGGCCACGGAGCTGCTGGCCACCAAGTACAAGGTACGTGGTCGCCACGTGGGGGGCACGTGTGAGCTGTGCTGGGCTGCAGCCGGCGTTGCTTGTGGGCACTTGTGGGGTATCCAAATTGGGTGTCCCAAGTTGGGTGTCCAAGTTGGGTGTCCATTCTGGGTGTCCCAAGCTGGGTGTCCCAAGCTGGGTGTCCCAAGTTGGGTGTCCATTCTGGGTGTCCAAGCTGGGTTCCCCAGCAATGTGCCCAAACCGGGTGCCCAAACGAGGTGCCCAAGGGGACCCCGATGCCCCTGGGGTGGTGGTGGGCAGGGGTTGCCCTCAGGCACGGACCCCCATGGGAACATTTTGTGGGTGCTGCTGGGGGCGCGCCGTGCTCCACGCCGACCCTCGGCACAACAAAGCAGCTCATGGAGGGTGGGGGAGATGCTGCGGATCCGTTCCCACCACTCTGAGGTGGCCCCGGGAACATGCCCAGGGCCGGGGCTGGGGCTCTGCTGGCTCGGGGATGCTCGGGGATTTGGGGCTGAGCGTGAAGGGGTGGCAGCAGCCCCAGCCCAGCCCCGTGGCCGTGCTGCAGCCCCGGCAGCACCCGTGGGTCCCCCTCCTGCTCCTGCTCCCGGCCCTATCATGGTGATGCTGGCACCACCGACCCTGTCTCAGCCTTTTGGGGCTGCTGCGGGCCCCGCCTGGGCGCAGGGATGGGATGAAGGCACCCCCTGGATGCGGGTGCCGAGGCGGGGAAGGAGCCTGGGTGCTGAGCCACGGCACCACCGCCCTGTGTCAACAGCGTCACGCTTGGCTGAGGATCCGGGGGATTTGGGGAGGGGCTGTCCCCGTTGTCCCCGTGCCACCCCTGTGCCCAGCTCAGCGCCCGCTGCAGCCCCAGCGCTCGGTGCTGAGCCCCCCGGGGCTGCTTGTGGCAGGTTCCCGGGGTGGCTTTGACGACCTGTGGGACACGGGTGTGCCGGGGGGGCTCACAGGGCCAGGGGGAGCCCCTTCCCTTCCCTTGGTCCCTGCTGGGGCAGGGCTCCGGGGAGGTTCTGGGCTCCCCGTTACGCCCCGGTGCCGGAGGGGTCCCCACCATGCAGGGACGGGCACCCCGGTGTCACCGGGGGCACACGGCCTTGCGCACGGGTGTGTGACATGGCCAGCGGTGTGTGGCCCTGCCCGGTCACCCACAAGACACGGGGACCAACGGGCTCACACGGGGGGGGTCAGAGCTTTTAGGGCCAGCCTGGCACTGGCCGTGGCCCTCTTGGGGCCGGGGGTTCACGGGGCCGGGGGCTGCGTCCTGCAGCGGTGCCGTGCCGCAGGCTCCCTCTGTGACACCTCCCCGTGGTGTCTCCTTGTCCGGGGTGGTGCAGTGGGGTCTGGCTCGGGGCCACGGCGTGCCCTGTAATTGCTGAGTAACGAGGCAGGGCCGGAGGCCAGGATGATGCTGCAGCCCCTTCGGTGGCCTCCGCAGCCTCCAGCCTGGGGGGGGGGACACCCAGTTCAGCATCACCCCACGGGGGTAAATCCAGCCCTGGCTGGCAGCGGAGGGGCAGAGCCTCCTGCGGTGCCCTCCCCGATGGGGTCAGGGGGTTTTTTCCTGATTTCAGTGGTGTGGAAAGATGCAGTGGACAGCACGGCGCAGCCCCTCGTGGGCGCTTTGTCCCTGCAGCTGCAGCGGGGTTGGCACAAAGGCAGCCCCTGTGTTTTTTGGGGGGGGGGGACACTGGCACGCGTGGGAGCGAGCACGGGCACGCAGGGCACCCTGCCCACCCGTGGGCGACGCAGCCAGCCCGTCCCCTCCCCAGGTTGTGGGGTCGGGGGAGCAGTTGCCAGCACGGATGAGCCGGGGGCTCGAGCCACGGGGGGTGTCAGAGCCACGCAGCTACGTGGGGACGGTGCGGGTGCCCCGCGGGGAGCTGGGCAGAGCGGTGCGGGGCTCAGGGGCCTGCAAATTTGAGCAATAACAGGGAAATTCCCGTATATAAAGCTGGGGCACATCCACCAGGTGCATCCTGCAGCCACAGGGGCAGTGGGGTCAGCGCTGCCATCCCGCTCGGGGCAACCTGCGATGTGTCATGTTGGGTCCCGGCCTCTCCACCCCGGGGGCTCCCCAGCGTCTCCGTGGCGCGGTGTCGGGTGCCGCAGGAGCCGTGCGATGCTGGAAAAATAAAAAAATAGGGAAAAAAAACAGGGATTGAGCGGTTCTGCCCCAGAAACCTGCGTGCCCGGGGAGATGCCAGGTCCCCTTCGCCTGGCGTCACCGCCCTCGTGCCTCGCAGTTGCTTGGAGACGGCGGCGAGGGGGGTCCCGGGGGGCTGGGGGGGCGCAGCCTTTGTCACGGCTGCTCACACGAGTGTGCAAATGTTGCACGGGGGGGTAAATGGGAGGGGACACGTGCACAAGCGCCGGCACAACGTGGGTGTGTGTAGGAGAGTGTGCAAAGGGTGTGAGTGTGTGCACAGCGTGGTGACGGGGAGCCCCTGGCACTGGGGAGGTGATGGGAAGCACAACTGGGATGGGATGGGATGGATGGGATAGATGGGATGGAAGGGGATGGGATGGGGTTGAAGGGGTAGGATGGGATGGGATGGGGATATGGGATGGGGTGAGGTGGGATGGGATGGGATGGAATAGGATGGCATGGATGGGGTGGGGTGGGTTTGGAGGGATGGGATGGGATGGGATGGACAGAACAGGATGGGATGGGTTGGGTGGGTTTGGAGGGATGGGATGGGGTGGGATGGGATGGGATGGGATGGGAGGGATAAGATGGGATGGGGTGAATGGGATGGATAGGGTTTGGGGGTCAGGATGAGACCACCCCAAGGGAAACGGAGCTGGATGCCCAACTCTGTGCCTGGTGGGGCTGGAGCGGGGAGCTCAGATCCTGCTCCGGGACCCGCTGCACCCCCGTGTTTCCAGCAGCTCCGAGCACTGCAGGACCCAAAACGGTGCTCAAACGGACCCAAAAGGTGGCCCAGCTTTGTTTAACGAGGGTCAGCCCAATTAGCAGCGCATGGCAGGGCAGGTCACGGAGCCACGAAACGCCATGGGTTGGAGGAATCCAGCTCCGCACAGCACCACCCCAAAACCAGACCCTAAATCTGAGAGCGTTGTCCCAGCACTGCTTGAACCCCAACCGCTCGGTGCCGTGCCCACGTCCCTGGGGAGCCCACCCCAATTCCCCACCACCCCTGGGTGCAGAACCTCTCCCCAAACCCCCCGAACCTCCCTGTCCCAGCTCCGTGCCGTCCCCTCGGGTCCTGGCGCTGTCCCCCAGAGCACAAGCTCAGCCCCTCCTGGAGATCCAGTGACCCCCACCCCATTTTGTGCCCCCCCAGGCCATGGAGAGCAAGCTGCTGATCGGCGGCAGGACCATCATGGACCACACCAACGAGCAGCAGAAGATGCTGGAGCTGAAGCGGCAGGAGATCGCCGAGCAGGTACCCCAGGACCCTGTGTGGGGACCATCCCTGGAGCTGGGGGGGCAGCGTGCCCATTGGGGGGGGGGGGTTTGGGGCAGTGCCCGAGCCAGCCCTCAGCCTCTTTCCCCCCCGTCCCGGTCGCAGAAACGCCGCGAGAGGGAGATGCAGCAGGAGATGCTGCTGCGGGACGAGGAGACCATGGAGCTGCGGGAGACCTACACGTCGCTGCAGCAGGAGGTGGAGATCAAAACCAAGAAGCTGAAGAAGGTGAGAAACCTTCTGGGGTGGGGGGGGGACACACACGGACGTGCCCTCGGTCCTTATCTCAAGGGGGGTGCAGTCCTACAGCCACCCTGCCCTATCCGTGTCCCCCCCATGGGACCTGCTGGCTTGAAGGAGGCTCCGAGCACGGCCCCGGGGGGGAATCACCGTGCTAGGGGCTGGGGGCTGATGTTTTTTCCCCCCCCCCGGCCCAGCTGTACGCCAAGCTGCAGGCGGTGAAGGCGGAGATCCAGGACCAGCACGACGAGTACATCCGCGTGCGGCAGGACCTGGAGGAGGCGCAGAACGAGCAGACGCGGGAGCTGAAGCTCAAGTAGGTGGCCCTGAGCTTGGGGGGGGGGCACAGAGCACAGCCCCCCCCCCCCATTAGCAGCAGCAGTTTGGGTGTGCACGGTGACGGGGCTGGGTGTCACCCCTGGGTGCCACCCCCCTGCGCTCCGCTCGTGCCCCCGGGTGGGTGCAACGAGGTGCAGGGGCCCCCGGTTCCCTCCAGAGCATCTCAGAAGCACAGGTCCAGCCCCCCCCACGCCCCCAGTGGGTCTGTTTTCACTGCAAGCAATTATTTGATTCAATATCTTAAAATAACAGCCCAGACACCTATAAATATTTCAGCGTTTTCGTGATGAAATATTCAGGGTTTTACTCCGAGCAGAATCTCATTGCAGTTTTACCACCCGGCCTTTGGAACGGGATTAAAACATTTTTAGAGCCCGCAGACTCACGTCGGCAATTCCTCTACTCGGAACGGCCCTTGTGCAGCTTCCCGATTTACCCCAAAACCAACGTGGGAAAACCAAAATTCCCTCTGGGGTCAATGGGATGCAGTTTCCCTCGCTGTCCGCCCTCCCCGGGCATCTCGCCTGGGGAAGCTTCGCTGCTGCGACAGCCTGGCCGCTTCGGCTTCCCATCCTCCGAAGGGATTTTCAGAATGAATTAAGGCTTTAAAAAAAAAAAAAAAGCAAAAAAAAAAAAAAAGCGACAAGAATAATCCGGGGCTGAGAGGAAATGCTCTTAGCGGGGCTGGCGGGACGCCGGCAGGGGGCTGGAATCCCGACCTGCCCCATGGCCAGGGGGGGTGCAGGGGGCAGCGAGTGCTGCGAGAGGGCTTGAGGGGGGGAAAGGGGGGTTGGGGGGGGAGCAGCTGGCTCCTGGGTGGATTTGGGGAGCCCCCAGGGGGGTTCCTGGTGCATCAGGGAGCTGCAGGGGCTCTGCAGTGGGGGCTGCGCTGCAGACTGCAGGTTGCAAACTGCACGGTGCAGGCTGCTTTGCAAATTGTGCACTGCAAGCTGCATGGTGCAAATTGCACGGTGCAAATTGCACGTTGCAGGCTGCTTTGCAAACTGTGTGTTGCAAACTGCGTGTTGCAAGTTGAACGTTGCAGACTGCACTCAACATGGGCGTTGCAAATCGTGCGTTGCAGGCTGCACGTTGCAAACCGTGCATCCCAACCTGCATCGCAACCTGCACGTTGCAGGCTGCCTTGCAAACCCTGTGCTGCCAACTGCACATTGCAGGCTTCCTTGTAAACCGTGCGTTGCAAATTGCACACTGCAAACTGCACATCACGGGCTGCATTGCAAATGATGCATTGCAAACTGCACGTTGCAAACTGCGCATCGCGGGCTGCATTGCAAACTGCACATTGCAAACTGCACATTGCAAATTGCATGCTGCAAACTGCACATCACAGGCTGCATTGCAAATGGTGCGTTGCAAACTGCACGTTGCAAATTGCACGTTGCAAACTGCACGTTGCAGACCGTGCATTGCAGACCCTGCCCGGGGACCCGCAGGGGGGCAGGCGGTGGGGTTTTGGCCCCGAGGCAGCGCGCAGAGCTGACGATGTTTCCTCCGCTCCTCTCTGAATGACAGTCTTCCTCTGCCCTTTCTCTCCTGCCTCGCCCACCCCTGCTGGATCCCACCCTGGCGGACCCTCTCTGCCCCCCCGTGCCCCCCGTGTCCTCCCCTGCCCTGCTCCCCCTTGCTCCCCATCTCTGCTCTCCCTCCTGTCCCCGTGACCCCCTCCTCTCCTTCTCCTCCTGGCCTGTGCCTCTCGCAGGTACCTGATCATCGAGAACTTCATCCCTCCGGAGGAGAAGAACAAAATCGTCAACCGCCTCTACTTCGACTGCGAGGAGGACCAGTGGAAATTCCAGCCGCTGGTGCCGGCCGGCGGGTGCGTGCGGCTCCCCGCCAGCTGGGGCGAGGAGCGGGGGTGAGCTGGGCCCGGAGGTGCCACCTCTGTGGGTTGGGGACACGACGGAGGCGCCGCGGGTGGGAGCCTCCCCTCCGCCCGCTGGGGTCCGTCCTGCGCTCGGGGCCGTGCCTGGCGCGGTTCTGGCAGCGTTGGTGCTGTGTGAGGGACCCTCCTCGCCTGCTTTCCTTTTCAGAAGCAGCAGCCAGATGAAGAAGAGGCCCACGTCGGCCGTGGGGTACAAGAGACCCATCAGCCAGTACGCACGCGTGGCCATGGCCATGGGATCGCATCCGCGCTACCGGGTAAGGGGGGAAACGGGGGGCGCAGGGGGGAGAGGGTGTCCCTGGGTGGGTGGATGGATGGATGGATGGATGGATGGATGGATGGATGGATGGATGGATGGATGGGTGGATAGGGGCCTGGAGAACAAGTCCTACGAGGAGCGGCTGAGGGAGCTGGGCTTGTTCAGCCTGGAGAAGAGGAGGCTCAGGGGTGACCTTATTGCTCTCTACAGATACCTTAAAGGAGGCTGTAGTGAGGTGGGTGTTGGTCTGTTCTCCCATGTGCCTGGTGACAGGACGAGGGGGAATGGGCTAAAGTTGCGCCAGGGGAGTTTTAGGTTGGATGTTAGGAAGAATTTCTTTACTGAAAGGGTTGTTAGACACTGGAACAGGCTGCCCAGGGAGGTGGTGGAGTCACCATCCCTGGAAGTCTTCAAAAGACGTTGAGATGTAGAGCTTAGGGATATGGTTTAGTGGGGAGTGTTAGCGTTAGGTCAGAGGTTGGACTCGATGATCTTGAGGTCTCTTCCAACCTAGAAATTCTGTGATTCTGTGATAGGAGGATGGGTGGGTGAGTGGGTGGATGGATGGATGGATGGATGGATGGATGGATGGATGGGTAGATGGACAGACAGATGGATGGATGGATGGACAGATGGATGAAGGGATGGATGGGTGGATGGATGGGTTGATAGATTGGGTGTGTCGATGGATGGATGGATGGGTGGATGGAGCGATGGAGGAATGGATGGATAGGAGGGTGGAGGGATGGAGGGAGGAAAGGAGAGATGGATGGAGAGATGGACAGATGGATGGGTGGATGAAGGGATGGATGAAGGGAAGGAAGGAAGGAAGGATGGAATGGCACTGGGATAGATGGACAGAGAGACAGACCTATGTAGAAGTGGACGGATGGAGGGATGAATGGAAAGAACTGCACTGACAGATGAATGGAAAGACGTTCAATGAGATGGATGGATTTTATTGAGATGGATCAATGGACAGGTGGAGAAAATAACACTAGGATGAGGTGGTGGCTAGTAAGAACTGTATTGGAGTGGATGGACGGATGGATGGATGGACAGATGGATGGATGGATGGATGGATGGATGGATGGATGGATGGATGGATGGATGGATGGATGGCAGACAGCTCCAGACACCTGGAGAGAGGATGGAGTAAATAAGACTTGATGACTTGAGGTACTTGAGATAATGCTCCCAGCTTTGAGAGCTTGGTCCTTGAGCTCCTGGCTCACTGCCTCTGCTGGCTCCTGCCACCAGGGCACAGCAGCAGCCAGGAGAGGGTCCCTGCTCCCCGTGGGCATTCAACTTTGCTCAGCAATTCGGACCTCCCCGAGGTGCTGCCTCGCTGCTTTGCCACGCGGTGACTCCCCGCCTTGTCTCTCCCTTCTCCCTGCCCTGCTGCAGGCTGAGAACATCATGTTCTTGGAGCTGGACGTCTCCCCTCCGGCCGTGTTCGAGTTTGAGCGGAGCAGGGACCCGGCCGAGCAGGACCCGCGGGCTCTGCACCTGGAGAGGCTGATGCACCTCGACAGCCTCCTGGAGCGGCCGGCGGCCTCCCGCGTGAGGAAATCCCGCTCCTGGTGAGTGCCGGGGATGCGCCGAGTGGGGCAGCAGAGGCTGAGAGGGAGCTGCAAAGCCGAGGGCACGGGGCAGCCTGGAAATGTTTCCTGGCTCCTGTTGGAGGCAGGTTTTGGGGGGTCCAAGGGGAGCCCAACACCCAATCCACCTCCACCCTGCTGCCCCGTGGGGCTTCGTACGCTCCCTGTTGCTTTGGGGTTTAAAACTAGCTGTGAATTGCTGGTGTGTAATAATATTTAAAAATATTTTGTGATGGGTATTAAATGAGTGTTAAATGAGAAGGCTCTGGGAGACCTCACAGCGGCCTGCCCGTGCCTGAGGGGGGCTGCAGGAGAGATGGGGAGGGACTCTAAGGGGTGTAGGGACAGGACAAGGGGGAATGGGCTTTAAACTCAAAGAGGGCAGGGTTAGGTTAAATGTGAGGAAATCTTTCCCTCTGAGGGCAGCGAGGCCCTGGTGCGGGGTGCCCCAGGAGCTGGGGGTGCCCCATCCCTGGGGGTGCCCAAGGCCAGGCTGGATGGGGCTGGGGGCAGCCTGGGCTGGGGGCTCATGCCCATGGCAGGGGTGGCACTGGTGGGGGCTCTGAGGGCCCTGCCAGCCCAAACCATTCCAGGATTTTGTGAATCTATGAAAAAACAGGATGATGACAGCAACACGTCATTGCGCACACACCCCCAGGATGAGCACAGTGCTGTCCAGCGCTGGGTGCTGCCCACGTGGGAAATCGCAGAGAAAACAGCGGGGTCTGGGGGAGGAGACGGGGGAAGAGGAAGCAGAAAGGAGATAATTTTCAGCTCCTGCCACCCCCTCCAGGTGCCAGACGCCGCGGTCGCTGCCGTCCTCCACCACGCACGTCGCCCTCGCCGCCGGCTCCCCGCGCGCCTCCACGACGCCGGCGCAGGAGTGACCGCCCCGAGCCCCTGCCCCGCGAGGACTGAGCCCGTCGGCGGCTGCCTCCAGCGCTGACGGGGCCAAGGAACGGCCCCGCCGGCAGCACCTCCACCGCCGGCAGCGCCTCCACCGCTCCCCGTTCGTCTTTGTCTTCAGCTACTTCGGTGTGCGCCTGTGTTTGTGTGAGACGCTCGTGAGCAGCCCCCCCTCCCCGGGGCGATGGGAGCTGCCCCCTTCCTTCTTTTTCCTTCTTTTTCCTTCCTCCCCCTCACCTCCCCCCCCGCCTTCCCTAGTCTGAATCTGTCACTTTATTTATTTAACGTATTTATTTATGGAGTGGTCGGTGAGCAGAGGCAGGAGGCGCGGTGGCGCTGCGGGACGCCCGAGGCTGGCACCGCGCGGGTCCCTTCGCTGGGACGTGGGGCCCCGAGCCCGCCGAGCCCCCCACCCCATGGCCCCTGAAGGCTTTGGCACGGGGCGAGGCAGCTCCGGACCCTCCCTGCTGCGCTCACCAGATCCCACGGAGCTTCCCCTAAAGTCTGTGCTGCGGCTCGTGGCAACATCTGCAAGGTTTTGGAGACGTCCCGGTGGCAGACCCTCACCCTGGGCTTTGTGGAGACCACGGGGGGCTCACCGGTGGCGGCGGCGATGTCTCGCTGACTTCTGCACGTGGCTGAACCTCCACGCTGCCAGCTCCATCCACCATGAGGGCCTGGGAGATGCCCAAAGGGCCTCTGGAGGTGGCTGCCCCGGTCCTGCGTGGCCGTCTGACACCCGGCTTGCCCTGACCGTGCGCGTGTGTGGCTGCAGAGCAAGGACAGGAGGTGGGGAGCTCCGTCCCCTTCCACCCAAGGAGCCACGTAGTCTGAGGAGCAGCATTGCCTGAGTGAAACCCACACTACAATTTCCATCTTTTCTGGCAACTAAAGGAAATGTGGCACAAAATGGTGATGCCTGGAGGAGTGACCTCAGCACAGCTCTCCTCTGGGCTGGAAACGCTGCGCTGGGGGCTGGGGAACGCTCCTGGTCGCTCTGGGGGTGGTGGAGGGAGAGCTGATGGATGTGAGATGGGTAATGGGTGTGAGCAGCAAGCAGCAGGGCTCCTCCGCCCGGCACAGCAACCAGAAACCCATCCCAGGCAGCAGCACACGGCATTGCCAGGACTGTCACTCGGTGTCCCCAAATGGTTCAGCTTTGGGCAGTAGGGTCGGAGAGGGGTCCTGGGACCATTTCCATGCCAGGGCAGCAGCTTGGGCACGGAAAGCTGTGGTTTATCTGGGATGGTTTTCAGGTTTGGGGAGGTGGAGCTGAGTTATGGGGTCCCGATGGATGGGGGAGCGACCCCCTGGTGCACCAGGACGTTGTGGGTTTGCTGAAGCCAGAAGGGATGGGGTGCTGGTGTGGAGGGGAACCCTGAGCTACAGCTGCTTGGGACCAAGTGCCACCTCTCAGGAGAGGCCCCACAGCCACTCGGCCAGGCTGGGGTGCCCGAACCTTCGTGCTCTTCCCCTGACCCATCCTCTGCTGTGGGACCTTCTCCCGTTCCCCCGTGGCACTGTCCTGCTTTGTGTTAACTGCCCCGTGCTTCTGCTGCCATCCTCCCTTCTCCACCTGCTTTCTGTCTGAATACAAACTTGCCCTGGAAGTTCGGGCAGGAATTGAGCAGCGAAGGCTGCACCGTTGGGTAGGGAAAAAAAAATCCCAGGGAGGGGAGCGAGCGCGTGGTGCTGCTGAGCGCAGGGCAGGGCGCACAAGGAAGGGGCTTTGGAGGTGGAGGATGGGTCCCTGGGTCTCTCCCGTGGCTGGTGGCGATTTCAGCCCGCTCACAGCACCGTGGCAGGGTGGGGAAGCAGAGGATGGAGACCCAGCTCCTCCTTCCATTTCCAGGATGGCCTCGGGGAGCACAAAGTTGGGAAGCAGAGACCTAAGAAAGGAAATCTGTCTGCACGGCATCCTGCAGGGGTATTTTCTCTTCCCTTCTTCCTCGCCTTCCAGCTGCCCCAAGTTCATTTTCAGCCGGGTCGGTGGCTCCTTGAGACCCGAGGTGGGGAACCAGGGCACAGCAGGCGAGGCCGAGGGCTGGTGGCAGGGGCCAGCAACGTGCTGCCACCCACGGGCTCCATCACCTGCCTGGCTTCTGGAGCTTGTTTTTCGTGGGACAATCCCTGTGTCCCCATCCAGGGCTGCTCGCCAAAACGCCTCCAGGCCATGCGCCGTGGGCCGGGGACGCTGCTGCCCCTGCCTTGCAATGCTGGGCCAGGCCACTCGCAGCCTCCCTGCGTGGCTGCAACGAGCTGGGGTGAATTATTTGTACCGTTCCTCGTTCTTTGTACGTCGGTGCGTGTGGTATTTCCATAGGGGTGTGTGTAGGCGTGTGTGGGTGCGCGCGTGTGTAGCCAAGGGATCTCTTCACCTTCGATGTGCGTGTGAGTCCAGGGGCAAGTTCCAGAGGGGGGGCAGTGGGCTGGGGTGGGGCCCTTTTTTTTTTTTTATTATTTTAATTGGTTATTTAGTTATTTTTGGTTTCAGGTTTGGATTTTATTTATTTTTTTTTTTTGCAAGGGGTGGGCTGGGGTCTGTTTCGGATCGATGGACAAGGTGAGGGCCTTGATTAGAACCAAATTTTTGTGCCTGTTGCTATGGTGACCTGTTTAGAAATCAAAAGTTTACCGTACGGTGGCCCATCCTTGTCGCTATACATAATGAATATACGGGACATATTATAAATATATATATATTATACATACTGTATGGAGAGAGGTCACGGATCTCACCCCCCCCTCTGGCTTTGGATGGACACCTCCTCAATATTCTGTAATGTAGCTTTGACTCGGTGCTGGGCGTGCTCAGAAGGCGCCGGCACTCCTCAAAAACTGGCAATGACACCAATAAAGGAATGAGCATCATCGCGCAGAGCCTCCCTCGCCTCCTTCAACGCCGTGCCGGGGCTCCCCGCAGGGCTTTGGGGTCGGGGCTGCTGCTGCTGCACGAGCCGGGGCTTTGGTACTTGCTGCCCTTCATTTCTCCGCGTATTTTTCCTGTTTAAGGCAGCATTTGCACCAAAATTTGCAGCTGTTTTGCAGGAAGCCTCAGCAGGATAAGAGCTGGGAGCTGGCCTCGGTGGGTCCCTTCCGAGGGGAGATGTGCTGCGATCTAAGCAGCAAAGCTGCGGTTTTGCTACCGACGAGCCCTCTGTAAAAAGCTAAGCACAAGCTCTAAGGGTAAAGAGGAGTGCGTGTGAGTCAGAACATTGATTTTTGAGGGATTTCGTTTTACATGCCCAGCTCCTTCCAGCTCTGCAATGATGACTTGAGCAGGTCTGAGCCCTTCCTCACAAGCTCTCCCCAGGGCTGTCCGGGACAGGGACGGAGCAAAATCAAGGGCGAGACACAGACTGGGCTCACTGTACACCAGGGAACAAATTACAACATCAGAGGAAAAAAAAAAAAAAAAAAAGCATGTGATGACTTTTATTAATTTATTTATTTATCGCTTCGCTCCTCTTTCAAAGGTCAGCTGCGATCAGGTGGCTCAAAAGAAATGTCAGGGCTGAGGACTCGGGCTAAATCAAGGAAACGGGTTTAAAGACAAAAACGGGGTTAAAGACAACTTACGGAGGCTGGGAGCTTCCCAGGCAGCTGGGGATGGGTAAAGTCAGGCTGAGGTATGGGGGGGAGCTGGTAAGGAAACCTCTGAGCTGCCAGTGAGGATTTTAGAGACCTTGTAAAGACCAGGGAAGGCGTCCAAACAGGGGCAGGACAAACATCAAGGACATCTTTTAAATAGGGGATGGGAGGACTCGGGGAGTTACATTCCCAACCAGCTTGAACTCCTGAAAATTTATTGAAGAGGTGAACAAAATCCGCTTGGAGGCATCCACAAGGTGATAAGCAACAGCCAACGTGGTTTGGTGCAAATCACACCAAACCAGCTTAGTTTTCTTCTGCTGAGAGACTTCAGTAAAACTTCTGAGACCGGCCAATGTGGCACGTTGGAAAGTGAGAAGAGAAACGTGTCCTCTGCCAGCAGCCGTCAAACGATCGCGTTTTCTGCAGATTTGGTACAACTCCGTGTTTTCACTGGCGTGGGCGATGCTGGGCGTCGATTTCCAAGCGCGGACAGGACGCTTTGGAGAGATTTTGCAGAAAATCAATGGGAACGGTGTGGAAACAGGAAAGGTTGAAAGAAAAAGTGGGGGTTCCATCCAGGGCTGCGGGGAGGGGTAAGAGCGATCTTCAGATATTGGAGGACTGCTGCAAAGGGAGGGAACCGGACAGCGAAAGGAGGGAGGACGAGAATTTCTGGCCCTAAAACAACAATAAAGATTTAGATTAGAACTTGGGAAAGCCATTGTAAGACCTCGAGGACAATAAGGCACCAGGATGATTTATGTGTGTATGATACAGAATTGCTTCTGCTGGAGATTTCTGAGAACAGATGAGCGCAACATCTGCCCGGAGCAGTTTACGAGCTTTAATCACGCACAGAGGATGCCTGTAGGATAACCCGACTGAAAGCCCCGGGACAAACGGACACAACGACCAGCGTTCTGTGCCGTAAGCCAATTTATTGCTGCGTGACAGTATCTTATATAGTGTTAAAACGTCCCACCCAGGAACCCAGGACCCCTCCCACTGTGCTCGCAGGCACCCCAGACCCCTCCTTTTGTGCACGCAGGCACAACCCAGAATAATCCCACATCTCCCCCCTCTTTATGCAGTAATGTACCCCCTTTAACCCGTTACGCTAAGCGTGATTTAATCATAACTACTTAGAGACAAGTATCCATCCCAGGAGCAAGCGGTGGCAATGGGAACCCTTCATGATTCTTGGTGAGAATGGTCAGCATGCTGCGATTCATTGTACTGCTTCTATCTATTTTTGCTTTAATACATGCATATACCAGCCCTATCACAATGAATACTATTACCAGTAGCAATATTGTTTGCAAAAGCGATTTAAGCCATCCTTCTAGCTGAAAGCCTAACCCCTCGAGAGTTGCCCCCAGCCAATTCTGTTCTGCGTCACGCTGCTCTTCTTTTATTTTGCCTTCTACCTGGGCTATTTGGGATATGTCACGTTCTACATCGGCAGTTACATTCGGAATGTGTATACAACAATGGCCAACCTTATCTTTAAGGTATCCACAGACACCATGTTCCTTTAACAGAAGCATATCCAGGGCCAATCTATTCTGCAGGGTCATTCTTGTTGTGGCTTGTAACTGTATATTTAATTCCTTAAACCCCCTTTTGGTTATGTCGGCCAATCTATGTACTTGCCCCATCAAATTGTATATCAGCTCCCTGTTGTGGTAGGAGGCTATCGGGGCAAACAACGATTCTACCACCCATCCTATCTTTACCCCAGTGGACGGTTCCTGCCACTTATCATCTTCTTCACTTACTTCTCTTTTTGTCCTTCTCTCTATGAGAGGAGATTTTTTCCAAAGCGGGCAAAGGGTGGGCAATCCTAAAGTAATTTCTTTTACTGGGCCATCCAAACTTAAATGAGTCGTCCAAGTTCCATCACTGGCAGCCCACACAAAATGTCCCATGCTTCGTATAGTCGAGGATTTACAATTCACTAAGGTCTTTTCCCTACCAGTCTGGCTGGCTATATTCCGGTTGGTTATACTCATGTTAACTTGCAGACCTCTGCATGCACATCCGGTGGCTAGGGCTATCTTTACCGGGAGCAGAGATATTGTTTCTAAAGCAGTATCACAATTGAATATTTGTGTACAATTCCACCACGGGACTGACTTTACCCTCTCCCGACTACTAGTTTCCCTCTGAGCCGTCTCGTATAGTAAACTCTGGTCATTATTTGTCCTTCCCACCCACTGCAAACACCAAGGAGTATTCCCTCCATATTGGTATTTCTGCAGTATACTTAATGCCCATGCTGACTCCCAACCCTCTAATCCTCCTATCTCGTTACCTTCTTTACACTTCCATATAACCTTTTCCTTTTGTCGTGTGCGTGGTGCATCAGATGCCGGGGTAGCCCCTGACCACCTCCTCCTGAGCTGTTTGCTGTCATCCTGTGGGCTGAAATTCCTGCAGGGCCACAGTCTGGGAGGGAAGATGAGGAAGATGAGGAAGAGGCAGGGTCCGGGCTCACCGGGCTCCGTTTCTCTCCGCACTGCTGCCCATGAGCAGAGCAGGAGGGCAGAGTGCCCGGAGCAAATAAAAAGGGGAAAATGATCAACTGCAAGCATTGCCATGCTTCATTTGCTCCAAACGGTTTCGGAAATCATGTGTGAAAAAGGTGCAGGGAAGGTCAAAGGAGTTTTCCACACCAAGCAGAACTGCCAAAAATACCCCGAAACGTCAGGTTTGGCACCGCGCACGCCACGTATCCCACGGGGCAAGAAAAAACAAACGTGACTTGAGGCAGGAAAAAAGTGCTCCAGTCACCAAGAGCGTTCTTCCCTTGCAAATTCTGCACTGCCTGATTAAAACAAAGTCCCGGGGAAGTTTGATTTTCCCTGCAGCAGAGGAGCAGCTGCTGCTTTGGCTGCACGGAGACGAACGCTTCCTGAGCCTTTGTTCCCCTTCCCTGTCCCACCCCTTCCACACACGCGATGGGGAGAGCTCAGCGAGGTTTTGTGCAGCACGGGGATGCCCTCAGCTATCGGGCTTCATAAATATTGATGCTTCCAGTCCCCGCACCATTTGCAATGCAGGAAACACCCAGGAGTGTCTGCTGTGTTCTCTGGCTTAGCTGATTCTGTCTGGGGATTTGTTTGCTGCTTGTTTTATTATTATTTTTATTATTATTATTATTATTATTATTATTATTATTATTATTATTATTATTATTATTATTATTATTATTATTTATCATCATCATCATTATTATCATTATTATTATTATTATTTTATTTTTTATTTTTACGATTGCCTACTGCCATTTATTTGACAACGCGCAGTGGATTTAGCAGCAGAGAAAATCTTTCGGATTCAAGGTCTCTTCCCTTCCCTGGAACCATCCCCTATAGCCCTATAGGGTCACACAGCCCCATGCAGCATTCACACGAATAACGACCAGGTTATAGAGACATCGTTTTAAAGAGCTGAATCCCTTCCACTGGCAGTCCAAAAGAAATTTTATTTGTTCACAAGTCTATACAGTTTAGGGCAAATTCAATCTAACAATTTTGGGTTCTTTCTTATTACATTTTGTAGGCCTTTTCCCGTCATAACCCTAAAATTGATTCCTAGGGTTTGCAGGGCTCTGTGCTCAGGCATTTACATTTCCAACGACGAGGAGAATTTCCTATAAAGGAAAATTTCTCGAAGGGGCCAAACATCTGCAGCCCACCTGTGAGGACGAATGCCCGCAGGTCTCTGGGACTGCCGTGGCCGTACACCGAGGAGAATTTCAAGTACCACGGAAGTGCGGTGGCTGCAAAATAAAATAAAATAAATAAAAATAAAATAAAATAATTTTAAAAAAAAAAATAAAACCCCAGAATGGTGAAGGTTGGATGGGGTCTCTGGGGGTGCAGCCCCACCACCAGCACCTCCTGGGAGAGCTCCCCGAGCCCAGGGCCGTGGGTTTGGGCACCCTGCTGGGGCAGGAGGGGGACAGAGCACCCAAGGGTGCCCCCATCCAGCCGGGGGGGCTGGGATTTACAGGCATTAGAGGCACTTCTGAGCTGCTGCTGTGGGTCCCTGACCTTCACCACCACCCAAGTGTCTGCCATGTGTGTGCCTTTGCGCAGTCAGCTCGCATTAAATCCCTGGCTCAGATTCTCTCCGATTCTCCCCTGCAACAACCGCCCCTCCCTGGGGAGCCTCCGGCGCTGCTCTCTGGGCTCTTAAAGCTGCTTTTAGTGTCCACGGCCCAGACCCCTGACCAGGCACAAGAGCATCAGCCCCCCCCCAGGCAGGGATAATTGCT